CTAATGGCGGGGGCGGGGGGTGGGCAAGGCTGTGCTTCCACAGGCCAGGCGGAGCCAGATGAGCCCAATGGGGCTGGGGGGGGGTCCAGCCGCTCCCTCTGTTGCCAGCCTAGAGGAGAGCTGGCCCAGGGGTCCTCCCGAGAGGAAGGGTCCCAGGTGGTCAGGCCACTGCAGACAGACTCAGCCCCCTGCTCTGGGCCCCTGGGTTCCTGGATAAGAGGAGACCCGGGCAGGGGGGCACGGCAGAGCCAGGGAGGTGCCGCACCTGGGCAGGAAACCCCTCTGTGCCTGTCTGCAATGTCACAGTCTGTTAACGAGGAGAGACGGCACCCGTGTTGGGCCAGTGTCCTGGCGCTTCCTGTGGGCCACCCAGGGCCTGTGCTCAGAAGGGCCCTCACTTGGCTGGCGTAATGCTTTGCTGTCACCGTTTTGAAATGCTGAACCAGAGCCCTGCTTGGCACAGGCTCCCACAAATGCTGCCGTGGTCCCGGCGGAGTGCACAGAGCTTCTTTCTAGCAGCCTGGCGTCCGTCCGTGAGCCCCCGAGGGCTGTGAGGGAGCCAGGTGTACAGGTTTCCCCCGCTACCTAGAAGTCAAGCATTCCTATGAAAACCTTCCTAAGCCGAAGTGGCATGAAGCAGAGAAGTAATTACCATTAATTTATACGGGAAAACATTGTGAGCGTTCCCAGAACCAAAATGTAACCCACCATCGTACCAAATAACATAAAACCCGGGCAGGAGCTATGGGGGATGTGGAGCATGGCCAGGGGCCCTCAGGGTGGGGCCAGCAGCCAGCACCACCTCCCCGACTCCTTCTTCGGAGGACAACGAGGAGGAGGAAGAGGAGGAGGAGGAGGAGGAGGACGAGGAGGACGAGGAGGACGAGGAGGAGGGGCAGCAGCGGAGGAAGAAGAGATGGCATCGGAGTTGGGGGCTGGGGGACTGCTGGCCTTTCTGGGCAGGCTGTCCCCCAGACACACCGGCCAGGCCCTGCAGCCCCCTTCGGACACGTCACACTTCGAGTTCCTGGACTACTGCACCCCCGAGGTTACCGAGACAATAGCAGGGGACTGGCACCCATCTGGCACGCCTTCCTGGTTTTTACCTACTGAGCCCAGCCTCAGTGGGGCGCACGTGCCCCCAAACCAGCTGTTTACATACAGGAATGCTGTTTTCGCTTTTTGCCTTTTTTTTTGTAAAGGCGAAAATCCTCTTTGGGTTTCTTTTGGTTAGCGAAAACAGATGCTAATGTAGGTCTTTCTTTTTTTAATTTTCTTTTTTATTGTACTTTGGATGAAGGTTTACAGAACAAATAGTTTCTCATTAAACAGTACACGTATTGTTCTATGACATTGGTTAACAACCCCACGACATGTCAATACTCTCCCCTCTCGACCTTGGGTTCCCTCTTACCAGCTTTCCTGTCCCCTCCTGCCTGCTGATCCTTGTCCTGGGCTGGTGTGCTCCATTAGTCTCGTTTTGTTTTATGGGGCTGTCTAATCTTTGGCTGAAGGGTGAACCTCAGGAGTGACTTCATTACTGAGCTAAAAGGGTGTCCGGGGGCCATACTCTCAGGGTTTCTCCAGTCTCTGTCAGGCCAGTATGCCAGTTGAGCTAGATGTTCCCCAAAACCATGCTCCTCACAGCCCTCAGCCCAGCAATTCGGTCCCTCAGGGAGTTTGGATGTGTCGATGGAGCTTCCATGACCTTGCCTTGGACAAGTTGTGCTGGCTTCCCCACTACTGTGTTAAAATCGAAGTGGCATAAAGCGAACTTTGGCGGGGGGTGGGGTGCGGAATGTGCATTCACTTCCTGTGGCTGCTGTAAGGAATCAGAACACTCTTTGTGGTGGAAACAACACAGATTCATCGTCTTGCAGTCCTTGAGGTCAGAGGTCAGAGGCCAGAGGTCCCACACGTTCTCCCTGGGCTAAAACCCAGGTGTCACAGGGCTGCGCTTCCTTGGAGGCTCCAGGGAGAATCCCATTTCCTCATCTCTTCCAGCTGCTGGAGGCCGCCCCGCCCACATGGCCTCATCCTTAAAGCCTGCAGTGCAGCTTTGTGATCTTGCTTCTCCGGTCACATCTCTCCCTGACCGCAGCTGTGAAGGCTCTCTGATTTCGACGACCATTGCGATACATAAGCCCCACTCAGATAATCTAGGAGAACCACTCCCCCGTCTCAAGTTTCCATAACCTTAGTCAAATTGGCAAAGTTCCTTTTGCTGGGTAAACTCATATGTTCACAGGTTCTGCGGATCAAGGCATGGATATATTTGAGGGGCTATTATTCTCGGTTCCACATGTGTGATGGGCTGCAAGCGGGGAACAGAATCCCCAATGCCGGAGGCAGATCAAGCTGGGACAGGTGGGGCCCCCGAAGTCCCCTCCTATGGGGCCCGGGATGGCACTGGGGGTGGGAAGACCCCTGAGCAGGAGTCTAGACCTCCGCCCCACTCCATGGGCAACATCAGGCTTCCTGGGCCAGGTGAGGGCAGCCTGGGCCGTGGGGTGCCACCCGGGCTCATCTGGCTCCCATCTCCCAGGGATGCCGGGGGGGAGGGCCAGCCTCGCATGCACGGAGGGTGGAGCTGAGGGGGCCAGCACCCACCGTCAGACCAGGCGGTCAGCGTGCTGCTGAGCCGCGGCCGTCGCAGGTGCTGGGGTGAAGGAGCCCAGGTCGAGCCCGTGAAGCCGCATCCTGGTGGATTATCAGACACCCCGCTTTGTTATCAGTTTCCCCCCATCTGAGAGGATCGCTGGACTAGAGGGTCTCAGAGGGCCCCTATGACCCTGCCTGTGGCTTGGAGCCAAGGGGCAGGAATCTCCCAGCCCTGCCCCAGCCCCCGTCAGCTCAGTGATTGTCTGGGCTCACAAGAGGCGTTAGGAAGGCTCCCGCCTGGGCTCCGGCAACTGCGTGACTATGCCCATCTGATCTGTGGTGGGCCCACATGACCCAGGGGCGGATGTGGGGCAGGGAGGTGGCGTGGGTGGGGGGTACGAAGATGCTAGTCACAGGGGCCTGAGCTGTCTCATCCAGGCTCCGCCTGGGCCCGGGGCTGAATTTCTGTATTCCCTTTTTTAAAAATATACTTTTTATTTTAGAACAGTTTCAGTTATATGGAAAAATTGCAAAGATACTATGTTGCTGTTAAAAAAAAAACAAAACAAATAACACCTATTGCCATAGGACTATAGGACAGAGCAGAGCTGCCCCACAGGATTTGCAAGGCTGTAATCTTTACGGAAGCCGACTGCCACATCTCTCTCCCTCAGAGCAGTTAGCAGCCGAGCTCTTGACCATTGCACCACCGGATCCTTAAAGGCACTATATCAAACCGAAAAAAACCAAACCCGTTGGGTCAATTTTGACTCGTAGCAACCCCACAGGACAGAGGAGAACTGCCCTATAGGGTTTCCAAGGAGCTGCTGGTGGATTTGAACTGCCGACCTTTTGGTGAGCAGCCATAGCTCTCCGTGGCTCTTAACCACTGCGCCACCAAGGCTCCAAAGGTATTGTAGAGATAGCCATAGACTTGGCACCCAGCTTTCCCTGCTAGTAACATCCTACACTAGTATCGTATGATCGGTGTGACGTTTGTTATAACTAGTGAACCAATATGATACATCATATGAACTAACGTCCATACTTTATTTAGATTTTTTTACGTTTGACCTAATCCTTTCTCTGTCCCAGGGTCCCATCTAGAATACCACCTCACTCTGAGACCCTTGAGAGGAGCTCCCCACCCCGCCCCCAGGGGAAGCTGTCCAGTGGATGCCGGGCCTGCGGCTCCAAAAGGGTGGGCAGGGGGCCAGGCAGGGGCGGAGTGGGGAACGAGCTGGAGGCCCTGGTGACCAGCAGGCCCACGAGGGAGGCAGGGACAGGTGATGAACAGGCAGGGACGGTGGTCAACCTGGGGGAGGTGGAGGACAGAGGACGAGGGGGGTCTGTGGGCAGACAGGGTCCTGGGTAGGGGGCTGGCTTCTTCTGCCCCTCCCCTCACTTCTCCTGCTAATGGGGCCTCTGATTGCAGATAACAGCCCCCCACAGATGCATGGATTGACCCCTGACATGGTACTCACGGGGAGCCGGGGCCCCCTCCTGGCCAAGGACCCCGGCCCCATTTGCCTCCGGGACTCAGTTTCCCTATCTGACCAGGAGGCCTCACAGGAGCCCCTCCCTCCAAGTTCGAGGGGAGGGCCGAAGAGGGCTGCATGTGGATGTGGAGCACTGGGGGGTGGGGTCTCTGGTGAGTGTCCCCCTCCGAGGGGCACCCACTCTGCTGAGGGCGGTGGAAATAAGCTCCTAGCCCTGTGTTCCCTCAGGAAGGGGTTGAGATGGGAGCGGTGGTTACCCACTCACAGGAAAAGTCCTAGATGCAGCTGTGCCTGCAGGCTCCCTAGGGGTTCTCATCTGCACCTGGGGGGTCCAGCATCTGGGAGGGGAGCCACCCTAGTGCCCAGGCCCCCCCAGCTGATGAAGGCGGGGATGTTCAGACATCCAGTCCCCACAGCAAGGCCACCTGGGCACCCATTACAGAGGGGGTCCGGCCAGTGCTGAAAGGAGACTCAAGCCCCCCACACGCCACCTGGACTGGATTAGGCAATCTTGCACTTCCATGCCCTGAGAAGCCCAGGACCCCCCAAGAGTGTCATCCGCCATGTGGGCCTGTGGGCACCAAGATGGGTATCTGGGTGTCCAGAGCCCTTGTCACATGGGCCCTGCATCTGAGTCATCCCACTTGGGGACTGGAGGGGGGTGTGTCCGCCTCCACCCATCCCCCCTGGAAGGATAAATGGAGAGGGGAGAGTGGCTGGGCAGAAAATGGCAGATACTGGCCAGGGTAGGTCCTTATCCTCGGAGAGCTCGACGTCTGAGTACAGCTGTGGAGTGGAGCAGAGTGCTGAGAACCCAGACCCCAGGGCTGGACCGGCCCCTGGTCCCCTGAGCCTGTCCTCTACGGCCCTCCAGCAGGGCTCACCTGCCCTGCCTTGCTCCTCCAGATGCTGACCCTAGTGGTGCTGGTGCTGCTCCTTCTGGCCCACGCAGCCCCTGGTGAGTCCTGGCCCCTGTGGGGCGGGGCAGTCAGAGACGCCCAGGACTGTCCCAGCGGGGATTGGGGAGAGGGCTGCACCAGGGCTGGAGCTGGTCCTGGCCCTTGACATCACCCTGTCTCCCCTCAGCCCCGGCCCTGGAGAGAGCAGGCATTGTGGGAGGGCGGGAGGCCCCCATGACGAAGTGGCCATGGCAGGTCAGCCTTCGGATGCATTCTGGGTACTGGATGCACTTCTGCGGGGGCTCCCTCGTGCACCCGCAGTGGGTGCTGACTGCGGGGCACTGTGTCGGACCGTGAGTACCAGGGGGCTGGGTGGTGGGGTGCCAGACTGGGCTGCACCCACGCTGGCCAGACCCTGAAGGAGGCTCCTCCTCTCCCCAGGAAGGTCGCAGACCCCGGAACATTCAGAGTGCAGCTGCGTGAGCAGCACCTGTACTACCAAGACGAGCTGCTGCCCGTCAGCAGGGTCATCGTGCACCCCAACTTCTACTGTGCCCAGAAGGGTGCTGACATCGCCCTGCTGGAGCTCGAGGACCCTGTGAACATCTCCAGCCACATGCAGCTGGTCACCCTGCCCCCTGCCTCTGAGACCTTCCTGCCGGGGATGCCGTGCTGGGTGACTGGTTGGGGTGATGTGGACAATGGCGGTGAGCCTTGAGGGTGGCAGAGAGTTGGGAGAGCACGGACGGTCCCTTTGGGAGGACCCGCTCAGGGAGTGGGCATTGGTCCCCCTGCCCCCACATGCTCCATCCTTCCTCTCCTCTTGTCCCCCAGTCTCCCTGCCACCACCGTACCCCTTGAAACAGGTGAAGGTCCCCATCGTGGAAAACAGCCTTTGTGACACCGAATACCACAATGGTCTCTACACCGCAGACAACATCCGTATCGTCCACGATGACATGCTGTGTGCTGGGAACAAAGGGCACGACTCCTGTCAGGTGGGACCCCACATGCCCCCATGCAGCCCCCCGCCCCTTGACTTCTCGGGCCAGCGCTGACCCTCCCCTCCCCCAGGGCGACTCCGGAGGGCCCCTGGTCTGCAAGGTGAACGGCACCTGGATGCAGGCAGGTGTGGTCAGCTGGGGTGATGGCTGCGCTCAGCCCAACCGGCCAGGCATCTACACCCGCGTCACCCACTACTCGGACTGGATCCGCCGCTATGTCCCCACGGAGCCCTGAGCCAGAGCCACCAGGCTGCCGGCCCCGCCTGTCCCCCACACTGCAGCTTCCTGCCTGGGGGGCCTGCCCCTGCCCCATCACGTGCTGTCACCCAGAGCCCCTCCCCATCCCGAGGACCCTCCCCACCCTGAGTCCCCTCTCCATCCTGAGCCCCCCTCGGCTCCTGGACCCTCTGGCCCTCACCTGCCCAGGTAGCAGGGGGTGGACGGGCCGCTCATCCCCTCCGTGTTGCTGTGTCTCATTAAAGTGCATGGAAGGCAGGTGTGGCTGTTGTCACTGTGTTTCTCGTCGTGGGTGTCACTGGGTGTCCCGGACGTGCTTCAAATTCGGGCTCTTAGGAAGGGCTGCCAAGAGGTTCTGTGTGGCACCTCGGCTTCTGTGTGGGTGTGTGTGTATGGGGGCGCTGGGCTCCAGGGTCATTGTAGGAAATGCCAAACTCCCACCCTGGCAATGCGGGACAGTGACTGAGCGGCCTCATCTTCGTTTCTCCATTTTGGTACCTGGGTTCTGACATTTCAGACAGTTTTTGTTTTTTTTTTAATAGACTTTATTTTTTAGAGCAAAGAGTCTTGGTGGCACAACAGTTAAGCGCTCATCTGCTGACGGAAAGGTTGTCAGTTTGAACCCACCCAGTGGCTCCGTGGGTGGAAGGCCTGGCCACCCGCTCCCAGAAAGCTTACGGCCTCGGAAACCCTATGGGGCAGTTCTACTCTGTCACACGGGGGCACTACGAGTTGAAAATCGTCTCGAAGGTGTCCAGCAACAACTTTTTTAGCAGTTTGAGGTTTACAGGATTTATTTTCTCCTAGACACTTTTGTCTATCTTCTGGATTTGTTGAAAGGTTCATGCATTTTTTTATAATCAGAAAAATACTATAAATCTATGAGGTTTATGCAGAGGTCCCCGCGGCCCTCTTCCCCTGAGCTGCTCCTCCTGCACTAACTTTGTCTTCTCCTGGGACGTTTGTTACAACTGCCGTACCAGCGCTGACACACGGCGACCCACTGAAGTCTGCAGTGCGCACCAGGCCTGCTCAGTGTGCTGTGCAGTCCTGTGGGTTTGACAAATGCTTCATGTCATGAGGTCACCATTAGAGAGTCAGACAGAAGAGTTCTTCCTCCTCCCCCCTCCCCCAGGGCTCCCGTGTTGATCCTCCTCTACCCCATCCCCCTGGGCGCCCCTGTTCTTCCCCCTCCCCCATCCCCTGGGCTCCCTTGTTCTTCCCCCCTCCCCATCCCCTGGGCGCCCCTGTTCTTCCCCCTCCCCCATCCCCCGGGCTCCCTTGTTCTTCCCCCCTTCCCCATCCCCCTGGGCTCCCCGTTTACCCCCCGATTTCCCCCTCCCCCTCCCCCTGGGTCCCCCCATTCATCCCCACCCCCATCCCTCACTCCCCACAGCTTTATCTTTCCTGCATGGCCTATAGCTGGAGTCCCCAAAGATTTCTGACTCCCAGAGAATCCACTTTTTGCAAGAAGACACAGCCCTTTGTGGGGGGCAGCAGGGCAGGGCAGGGGGCTGGTCCCTGGGGCTTTCCCCTTATCTGGCCTGGATCCCTGATAAACGTTGCCAGCTCAGGCGGAGACAGCTGACAGATAAGGGAGCGTTGGCTCTAATTGGGGGGGGTGGCACAGACCATGGGTCCACAGGGCCAGGCCAAGCCAGACCAGCCAGACGGAGCTGGACAGAGGTCCAACCTCTCCTTCTGTTGTCAGCCCAGAGGTGGGCCAGCCCAAGGGTCCTCCCAAGGGAAAGCGGCCCAGGTGGTCAGGTCACTGCAAACGGGCACGTCTCCCCACTCCAGGTTTGCAGGGAGTCGTGGGGTGGGGTGCGGGTAGGGAAAAGGATCCTCAAGGCTCGAGGCTAATGGAGCTGGGAGACGTGGGGGACTCTGAAACCCCCTCCCATAGGGCACAGGATGGCACTGGGGACGGGGAGACCCCTGCCCCCTCCACGAGCTACAGCAGGCTTCCTGGGCTGGGTGAGGGTGGCCTGGGCCGTGGGGCCTCACCGGGGCTTACCCTACTTCACCTTCCCCCATGCCTAAGGACCATGGAGCCAACAAGTCCGTGACCCACAGAAGCTGGCCAGAAGGAGCCCAAGTCCTGCCCATGAAGCCGCATCCTGGTGGATTATCAGGCAACCCCCCCGCCCCTTTGAGACTCTGTTTCTCCTCATCTAAGGGGGTTGTTGGACTACAGGGTCTCAGAGGGCCCCTCTGACCCTGCCTGTGGCTTGGAGCTGACGGCAGGAACGTCCTGGCCCTGCCCTGGCCCCTATCAGCTCAGTCATCATTCTGATCTGCGGTGGGGGCACGGGACCCAGGGAAGGATGTGGGGCAGGGATATGGTGGGGGTGGGGGCCACTGAGATGCCAGTCACGGGGGCCTGAGCTATCTCATCCAGGCCTCGTCTGGGCCTAGGACTGTATCCTGTATTCCCTTTTCAAAGATATGTACTTTTATTTTAGAACAGTTTTAGATGTATAGAAGAATTGCAGAGATAGTACAGAGATACCCACATACCTTGTACCAGTTTCCCATTATTAACACCTTACGTTATTACAGTGTATTTGTTATAATTAATGAACCAGAGTGACACATTCAAGGAGTGCAAACAGTTCAGCACTTGGCTGCTAACCGAAAGGTTGGAGGTTTGCCTTGGAAGAAAGGCCTGCAGATCTACTTCTGAAAAATCAGCCACTGAAAACCCTGTGGAGCACAGTTCTACTCTGATACACATGGGGATGTCACGAGTCGGGGTCGACTGGACAGCAAATGGTTATAAAAGACCTCAAGCCCCTGCTGCCTTTTGGAGCTCTGTGGCCCACCGTGCTGCAGAGTGACATCAGCTGGACATACGCACCCCCTCTCGGCTCCCCTCTCCCGGGAGTCCCCTTGCCCTCCTCCCCTCCTGGGTAGTGGCCCCTTTGCCAGCTGCCTTCAGAAAGGCTCATGCTATGAGGGGCTTCCCCATACGCAAAAACCTGTCAAACGGACGCCCTAATAAAGCGCACGGTGAGCTATGCCACCCCCCGGTCATATCTTTTTCCTTTTTTCCTTGCTCAGCCCCCAAATCCCTTGAACTCACTCCATAAATGGGTTAGCAAACTGTGATAAATCCATTCAAGGGAACAGCACCCAGCCAAAAAAGGGGAAGAACCACTGGCTGCAACGCGCTACGCGGCACGCGCTGCAACGCGCTACGCGGCACGCGCTGCAACGCGCTACGCGGCACGCGCTGCAACGCGCTACGCGGCACGCGCTGCGGATCTCAAAAGCATTACGCTAGGTAGACCACCCCCACCCATCTGTCACTGTGTCACCCTGTGGTGGTTTGCATGCTGTTGTGATGCTGGAAGCTACGCCATCAGCATTTCAAGTACCAGTAGGGCTACCCATGGTGAACAGGTTTCAGCTGAGTTTCCAGACTAAGACAGATGGGGAAGAAGGGCCTGGTGGTCTACTTCTGACAATCAGCCCGTGAAAACCCCGCGGATCACAAAGGAATATTGTCTGATGCGGGACTGGAAAACGAGCCCCCTAGGTTGGAAGGCAGTCCAAATACAGAGTGGCCACAACAATGAACTCAAGCAACCAGTGATCACGAAGATGGCACAGGACTGGGCAGTGTTTCGTTCTGTTGTTCATGGGTCGTCATGGGTCAGAGACAACTCGGCGTCAACCAACAAAGTGAAAGAAGCCAGTCACAAACGGCAGCATCTTGTAGGACAGACTATAGTGACAGAAAGCAGACCAGCGGTTACCAAGGGCTGCGGGAGCAGGGAGCGGACCGGCTGCAAAGGGGCAGGAGGGAACATCTGGGGATGACAGAATGGCCCTATCTTGACTGTGGCGGTGGTTACCTGACTGTGTACGTTCTTCCAACCCATTGAATTGTACGCTTTACATCGGTGAATTTTAATTACGTGTGTATCTCAATTACACCTCCATGAAGTTGATTAAATTTTTTTTAATCATGGCAGTTTTTTCCCAAAGATGTTTGTATTGAGATACCTGGGAATCAGCCCATTTTCTCCAGAGCATGGGAGGAGACTCTGGGTTTGTGGGCACCCCTTGTGCGGAAGGATTTGATCCTCCAGCTGTGGGACTGAAGAGCAACCAGCAAGCCCTCCTGAGCCTTGGTGGCCTCATCTGCAGGAGGGAACTAGGGCTTGCAGGAGTTTGGGTTGGCACCAAGAATCCAGGGGCTGGGGGTCAGGAGCTGAGCAAGGGTATTCACCCCAGACCCTCGTGTACTAAAGGGGAGTCTGGGGCCCAGAGGGGTGGCCCCTTCTTCCCAAGGCCACACAGCAGACAGGGAGTCTGTGCAGCCCTCTCACCCAGAAGCGTCCTTCCTAGCCGCCTCATTTTCATATCCAATTAGCAAACCTGTGCACAGGGACCTTCTCTTGGGGACAACAAGGGAAGGCCGCCATTCAGACAGGTCCTTCCTGCCTCTCCACCAAAATGTTCTTTGGGGTCTGTGGGGATGGGGACAGGACCTCGTTCTCAGCTCTCAGTGCCGCTCCTAACCCAGGTCCCCGCCGGCCTGCAAGGAAGACCGCGGATTCTTTGATGGGTGGGAGAGAGGTTTGCTCCGCCTGCAACAGGCTGGGGGATGCGTACCTCTAGCCTCTGGGAAGACCGAAGACGCACACGGGAGGAGCTTCCGGTCCCCACCTCGGGTCCCTTTCCGCCTCGTCCAGACCCAGGAGCTGGGGGCCCCGGTGTGCGCCCCCACAAAGGATTGGGAAGGTCCTTGTCCCCTCAGCCCGTGTCTGGCGGGAAGGATCGGAAAGAAGGGGAGGGGTAGTGAGAGTCCCAGTGCAGAGTCTGGACACCGGGACATGGGACGCGCGGAGGCCGGACTCTCGAATCCTCAGACGCGCGGATCCCGGATCCCCGTGCCCCTACACCACAGAACCCCAGGATCCCCAGACGCGCGGAGCCTGGACTTTTGGAACCTCGGGCCCCAGGACGCGCGGAGCCCGGAGCCCGCCC